AGCATTTATGAGGTACGTTGCTCTCTTCCTTATCTACCCTCTTCATCTCTTCTTACCGTGAGGAAGTGAGTTCTGTCTTGAGAGTCCTCTCGATGAGAGGTGTCGCGAGCGCTCAACCTTGAGAGTCGACATTCTTCCTGGGCAGCAAGCTGGTGGGAGACGGGCGAAGCCTCTGAAGGGCCCTGGACGAAGCACTCGGGTCACGGTCACCATGCCAACCCGCTGGGACTAGTACACGCATGCTTGGGCGCAAGTCCTTGGATCTGCTGCTTGCGCAAATAGGGGTCAACTCGGGCATGTTAGCCTCTATGAGACACTCACCAGACCGTCTATAAACATTTCTAGTTGGGGACTCGGATCTGAATCTGGCTGTGATCGTCGTCCTGACTGCGACGTTAAATAATTCCTGAAGAGATGGGGGCGCTCTTTAAATTCCTCCTGATCAGCCAGATCAACCGGGTGTAAGGCTCGTCGGCGTACGAGGGTAAATAAGAGTGTTGTGGCTGCCTTGCTCGACAGTGACTTGTGGCACAGGGGTGGGACCAGATTGCACACCTTTAGACACGCTGCTCAACCAGATGCTCAGGGACGTTGACACAAAGTGATTACTCAAGAAAAATACAGGGGAAGGGGGGATTCCGGTAACTGTTCACAGTGGCAATCAACAAACAATCTACCATTCAGTGTACATCTCCAACAGGAGATGTTATTTTTATTTTGATTATCTAGTTGTGACAGACTTCGCTAACAACTGACAGACAGCTACAGATAGATTAAATCTTTGCTGTAGTGCAATCTGTTCTAGGGTAATTCAAAAATAGAATTAATATATCATGTAGGACCTGACATTAGTTGCAACTACATCACCTAATCATTTCTGTTCCAGCCGACCGTAAGTAGTTGTGTATCATATGCGGATGTGTGTCAAGCTAAGGTAGGATGCAGTGTAGATCACACACACTATAGCTCATGAGTGATGCAAGCACAAGTGAAGAGGAGTTACTAGTGGACGACCGTAGGACTACTCGCAGGACTGCTCGCAGTCGACCCTTGACGTTCTTGGAGTTAGGTCCAGGAGACGAGAGAAGATTGAGGAGAGAGGCTAGAGAGAGGGCAACGGCAAGGAGAGCTAGGGCAGCTGAGGACAGTGCTAGGGCTAGAGTTACAACTAGCATCAGTTCAGCCGTGGCTACCTCATCTATAACGCAACCCTCTACACAGCCGTCTTCGTCTGGAGTCAGTCAGGGTGGTTCTCAGGTTCCCATTAGTCAGATTGGYCATGTGCGAGTCAGCCAGTCTCCACTCACGCCGGAGGACTTAGAAATCCGGCAGGCAGAAGAACTTCAGAATGAGTTACAGCGGCAGATGGACAATGTGGTTGAGAGGAGAAGGAAAGCTATGCAAAGAAAGGCTAGACTAGAGAGTAGAGCTCAGGAGCTAGGCAGACTAGAAAGACTAGATGAGTCAACATTAGACCCTGTTGTCCGTGTGCTGCGAGGCGCCTTACTTTCAGTGGCGGAAGCGCAAAGTGTTCAACAGGAATTGTTGGCTGATTTGGTAGCAGGCCAGAAACAAATTCTGGCTGAAAAAAGTGCACACCACGTACCACGAGAAGGCGTTCTATGGTGTCTGTTAGCTCTCTAACATCCTTGAACCTTCGGGAACACAGGTTGTTGATAGCATCGGTGACCTTTTGAGCCCCTTGCGGGTCATGCCACCTGTTGTAGACTGACTGTACGAACTGTTCCAATGTCTGAGCCTGAGCCTTGACATCGAAATCCTGACCGTAGCCCTGTTGCTGCACTAAGCCATTCAACCAGCGGGCTGCTGATCCTTCTAAAAAGGAGGCAGCCACTACAACTTCTTGTTCTGCCTCACCATCATCCGAGGGCCCCGAGGCAGCCACAGTTTGTTGTAGTTCCCCCTGCAGGTGCGGGTCCGTCCACGATGCCGCAACGCACCGGGCACACTTTCTCTCCTATGTTTGGCATACCCCCTCCAGGTGGTTTGGTAGCAACTAGTGGTCCGGTTCAG